CTCTTGTTTGCAGAGGCATAAGCAAGGAAAAAACTGAAAGATAAGAGTCTCATGCTAGCAGAGAAGTCTTGATACATGATGTTGGAAAAAAAGCTGTCCACATCAAGGATGCTGTCTCCTTCTGGGGAGAATCTTCCCTGGTTAGCTTTACCTTAAGGTTTCCAACGGATGTACAGTTCCAAGAGTGTAGAGGGACCCTTATGAGTTGTGAGATTAAAAACCCAAGATTCAAGGTCTGGAAGTTTTCCTGTAATGTGGATGGCAAGTGCAGTCTTTCTCTGATTTTTTCAGAAGATTCAATCTTCAGGTTCTAGATTGTGAAGGTGTTGATTGTCCTGTCAGTGGACCATGAAAAGCTTTCTTCACCTGAACGTACACTTTGGCATAACGACCTACTGTTACATCAGCCCTCTTGCATGCATGAAAAGTTTTTATACAACCAGAAAACATGCATTGGAAATGACAATGGAATGAAATCCCTCTATAAAAATTTAAATGACTCTCCAGGTAGCAAAAATGTACCTGAAGTTTTGATTATATTTCCAGAAATGTGGGTTTGACAAACCAAATATTGGTCATAAACTATTTTAGCAATTTAGAACAGTCACCACACACACATATACATATTTAATTTGAATCATTTTATCTCCTTCATAAATCATGGAATGCAAAGCTTTTAATAACAAAAGCTTTAAGGACTCAGGAAGGATGAGGTGGGTATCCAGGTTCTCCATGAGTCCACACTTAACACTGGACTTATGTCCTCTCACATACCTGCTATTTCTCCAATTTAGATGCATAGCACTAAAACTGATAGGTTATCATAGGTAATTTGACCTGGACCATGGAATTCATTCGAACTGTGTATCTAAACAATTCATTGATTTATCATAAAATCTGGCAAAGTACCTTTTTGCTATTCAATTTTTTTCCTGCTTGTGTAGCAGTTTTATAAACCAGTCAGTCTCTTTATTAGAGTTCAGGAATTCTTACCCAGTCCAAACGGTTTGATCTGAAAGTTATCAGAAACCTGTATTCGAGAATGTTTGTCAGGGTCCTTTTCATCCCTTCATGAACCTCCTTAAAGACGCCATATTCTAAGACTGTGTGCTTGTGAAGTTTTCAGAAACTGTGTCAGAATTAAGCAATTAACTGTGGAAATAACTTTAAATGGTCATAAAGAGACAATTTACAAGGAAATTTGGTTATTTCTGTGGCTTACAATAATTTAACATAATAACCATAATTATGACTGATAGCATATACCCAAACATTAGAATTTTATAAAGGCCATATAATTTTGGAGTATATATTAATAACATAGTCACTAAAATATAACTTGAAGAAGGTTAAACATTATTTCTTATTTGACAATGCCTCCCATATAGTTTTACATGCCAAATAATTCTATTTATCTTTCTTTTGGATGCTTCAGGGGCCTTTTGTATCATCCAAAAGTTAAAAGTAAAAAATACTTAATTTTGGCCAGGTACAGTGGCTCACGCCTGTAATTCCAGCACTTTGGGAGGCTGAGGTGGGCAGACCACAAGGTCAGGAGATCGAGACTATCCTGGCTAACATGGTGAAACCCCATCTAAAATTAAAAAAAATTTTTAATATTTGTAAAAATACAAAAAATTAGCCGGGCATGTTGGCGGGCACCTGCAGTCCCAGCTACTCAGGAGGCTGAGGCAGGACAATGATGTGAACCCGGGAGATCATGCCACTGCACTCCAGCCTTGGCAACAGAGCCGAACTCCATCTCAAAAAAAAAAAAAAAAAAAAAACCACTTAATTTTGAAGGTGAAATTTGATTTTGGGAAGCCTATAAAACATGTCAAATGTTTAAAACATGTAACCAAATAGGATCACAGGCTACCATAAAGTAGTCATAATTTATTTAGCCAAAGTGATAATTAAAAGATTTTTTAAAACCCAAAACCTACACTCTTTGATAGAGGATACTCAGTTTTCCAAACAATCAAAAGACCTGAGAAAGACACCATGAGATAGAATCTGTCTCTTCCTCTTTTTTTCCTTTTTGCTGTTTACTTAAAAGATGAACATAAATATTTTACTGTCTTATAGACACTACACAATATTTGTGTTCAAAAGAGAAAACCAACTTTTACTTTTGTATTAGTATCCTGTCAATACTAAAGCTAATTTTAATAAAATCTTAACAATAAATTTATGAAATTTGTCATCTTTTAACTATACAAGATTTTCATAAGCCTTTTGCTGTACATTTTCTCCCCAACTTTTTATGTTTATCTAGTTTTATCTATTTTTTAACTCCTCAATTTGAAACCTTTAGTAACTTCAAACTAAAAATTTTTAATAAACACACATTTTTATGCCTTTATAACTTCCTCATCAAGGCATATCTTACTTTTGTTTAGATACTCTTCATATAGCATTGTTTCTTTCATATCTAGTATTTTTAATTACATATATTAACTATAATTTTAACTCTTAGTAACCCTAATTTCTAGTGAAAATCACAGAAAGTTATTTTGAACTGTTTTATATTAGTATTTGTAGAAAAAATTATAATTTTTTAGAAAGATGGTTCTTCAAATTACTGTTTATTAACATACCTAAATGTATTTGGCTTTTCTATATCATGTTAATAAAAATGTCAAGGTATATAGGCTTAAACTCTTGTTTAATAATTAATATTTCAGGTCAGGCAAGGTGGCTCACGCCTGTAATCCCAACACTTTGGGAGGCCAAGGCAGGCAGATCATGAGGTCAGGAGTTCGAGACCAACCTGGCCAACATAGTGAAACCCTGTCTCTACTAAAAACACAAAAATTAGCCAGGCATGGTGGTGCGTGCCTGTAATCCCAGCTACTCAGGAGGCTGAGGCGGGAGAATTGCTTGAACCCAGGAGGTGGAGGCTGCAGTGAGCTGAGACCACACCATTGCACTCTGGCCTGGGTGACAGAGACTCCGTCTCAAAAAATAATAATAATAATTAATATTTCAATATTTTAAGTTATAAATGACTCAGACATTTTGTGATTATCTGTTACTTTGGCATAACATAACTTTAGGATTTTTAATTACTAAAAAGAATTTTGAAACTATAACGCAAACTATACCCTCCCTAACTATTGTAGGACTCTTAGTTCAGCTAAAGATGCGGGTCCTTGTCACACGGCCACAAAAAAATTAGGCTCATAGACAATTTGAAGGATGAGGATGGCAGGGTTTATTAAGTGAAAGGAAAAAAAGATAAACAGGGGTTCTCCACAAAGCCAGAGTTCTGCTAGTGTACTTCCCACCTCACAAACTGAATCCCAGGTACCACCCAGGAAGAAGAGGGGCCAGGTTCCTCCCCACTGCAAATGGCACGACCTTCTGTGGCTCTCATAACATCTTCCCCAGGTCATCTGGGGTCTCAAGTAACCAGGTAGTACCGAGGAGGACTACGAAGGTCAGGACCTGTCTGAGTCCTGAATTTACATACCAGGTGTAGAGGCCAGGACAGAAGACAGCTGTAAAGACTATGCCTACAGGATCCAACCCTTCCCCAAAATAGCCAGTAGGCAAGCAGGGAAAGCAAGGAATAAGAGTTATATTTGGCTTGATTCTGACTTGTAGCTCCTGGTCTAGGAACTGAGACCATGTCTCCAGACCTCATCATGGACACCTATTCACATCCCCAAATCCAGAGGCTCTAAACCAAAAAAACGTAAGTTCACAGTCAAATCAAGCAGGTATCTAATTATGTTTAACTGATAATTGTGAACTCATTCCTATTTCACCAAAAATAAACTGGCTTTATTTATCAAATATTACCACATACATATAACACATATAGACATACAAACACACAAAAGCAGATCTTATAGCTTCCATCAAGGATTTTTATTTGCCAGCTTTCAAATAGTTTTTCTTGTCCCCATACAGACTATCAGTCTTCCAGTTATCTGTTTCACTGCCCTAAGCAATTGTTAACTAGGCAACAAATTTGCATTTCTAAAGGGACAGCTCTTACATGAAACAAAAAAAAATTATATTTCATAAGCACAGAGCTAAGATTTTAGGCATAAATGTGGTATCATCATTTGCTCAAATCAAGGGAAAAAATGGTACATAAGTGAAAGTTGATCAAGATAAAGTGGCCAGAAAAGCACCTTAAGCAAAGGCATGACTTATTATGTAAATTTAAAACAATGGTAAGAGTTTCTAATGCACATAGGCAGACTTCCTTGCAAATGGAGGTTTCCTTTATAGATGTAAATTTCTTTTACAAAAGGCTTTTAAGATTGCCACTTCAATTCCAGAAAGGTGTATTTTAGTTCAGTTGGTGTTCTTTTTAACTTAGCTACTGTTTCTTAGCTAAAATTACTAAATTCAGGGTGGAGCCTCTTAAGGAATAGGGCAAAGAGAGCATTCTGTATGCCTGGACTTAGCATGAATAGATCTGAAAAAGAAGCAAGGCTATTTTAACTGTGGGCCTACCTTTTATAAACACTTTATCTAGGATAGCTTTCATTTCACCTTTGGGGCAGCATAGTAACTAAGCCAAAAGGTTAGCAGATTTAATTTTTCTTATCTATTAGTAACTTAAGCTTTTTATTTGCCTTTTATAACATCTTTAAATAAAAATATTTCAATCTTTTTAGAAGCTTCTGCATATCAATAGACACCCCTAGATGAGACTAATTTGAGAGACCTCATTTTCAAATGCTCTTCTTCAAGTGCAGGGTTGTTCATTTGGAACATTTCACTGTAAGTTTAAATTATCTTTAGTAAGATTTTGCCATTTCTGTAGTCCCAGCTACTTGGGAGGCTGAGGCAGGAGAATGGTGTGAACCCAGGAGGCAGAGCTTGCAGTCAGCCGAGATCGCGCCACTGCACTGCAGCCTGGGTGATAGAGCGAAACTCCGTCTCAAAAAAAAAAAAAATTGCCATTTCTGTAAGCCTTTGCTACTTCTAGGGCCTAATGCTGATACACATATTAGGCGGAAGATACTTAGCTCTTTAGAAATAAAGGATCCCATTTTTACCTCAAATATTGACTTTGGCTCTCAGGTCCCCTCAAGCAACTATGTCAGTGATTTTTTTCCATACCTAAGTGTACAAGAAAAAAGAAACAAAGGAAGTAGAAAACACGAAAATCCCTGTGGACTTCCAAAAGCCAAAGTTTACAGCCCTGCAATATTGCCATCTGCTGCTGGCTTTTTTCTGACCCAATCAGACAAAAGAGGCCCCTAACTGTATCCAAGCCAGTTAATTACCAGATACAATCCAATTGTAGATCCAGTTCAGTTTCTGTCAGAACTTCCAAACCCAGTGTTGATGAAAAATTTGTTCAAAAAAACTCAGAGAGCTCAAAACGCAAATCCGTGGAGCCTCAGAATCTGAGGGAGAACTTACCAAGATCCCCAGCTGCTGTGAGAGAGCAATGGAAACAACAGGCACAGTGGGTAACTTGCTGCTCACTTGGCACTTCTGGGGGTCACTAGTAGTTCTAGCTTGGATCCCACTTCTGACACCATCTGTTAAAAGAAAAACCTTAGCCAAATTAAATTTAACAGAGTTTATGTTTTTTTCCCTGAGGATCAAGGCAGACCGCAGGCAGAACTAGACAGCAGCTTTCACTCAAACGGACCAGAGCAGCGTGTGGAGTCTCTAGAACTACTACAAGAATAATTCAGGAAAGCCAAGAGAACCCACAGACCCTCTTAAGGAAGTGGATTGCTCCTCCAAGACCTGGGAGACACCCCAATTACTGTGAGTGCCCAAACTGTGGGAGTGAGAAAGGGAGATTATCTGGCCCTGAACACCCACCCTCACTTGGGAACCTGAAGGTCTAGATCACAGGAGAAGATTCTGACAATACCTGGAGCTGAGTCAATTTAGAGAGCCGAGTAAAATACAGGTGTAGGGAAAGCAGTGGGAAAAGCTCTGTGGGCTCTCTGGGTTCCCAGCAAAGTCATTTCTGACTTGTCTCACAAAGTTACCTGGGGAGGGTTGCCAGAGGAACTGAGAAAAGGCCACAGAGAGAAGGAAACCTCCAGCTGAACTTTGTAACAATTCCAACCAAACAGGAAGTCTCCTGGCCAGAACTCCCGGGGAGGGCGTGCATCCAGTGTGCAGACTCCACAGGCAGGGAAGCACCGAAAGCCCTACTTGCTTTCACAGCTGGGGGCTGGTAGCCTGGGGCAAGTTCTCAGCCCTGCTGTCAGACTGCCTAGAAATAGACTCAGTGCTGTTGTGGCGTGGGGCACGGTGGGAGTGAGACCAGCCTTCTGGGTTTCATGGAAGCTGGGTGAGGCCTGTGACTTCCAGCGTTCCCCCGCTTCTATGACAACCTGCATGATACAGCAAAGGCAGCCATAATTCTCCTAGGAGTATAACTCCATTGACCTAACCCCCATCCCCCACAGCAGCCACAGCAAGACCTGCCCAAGGAGAATCTGAGCTCAGATATGTCTCGCCCTGCCCTTACCTGATGGTACTTCCCTACCCACCCTGGTAGCTGAAGACAAAGGGAATATACTCTTTGGAGTTCTAAGGCCCCACAGCCCCACCAACCACCTGATCCTCCCCATACTACCACAGCTGATGCTCTCTTGAAAGCGTCACCTCCCGGCAGGAGGCCAACCAGCACAAAAATAGTGCATTAAACAACCAAAACTAAGGACCCTCACAGAGTCCATCTCACCCCACTGGCACCTCCACCAGAGCAGGTGCTGGTATCCACAATGAGAGACCCACAGATGGTTCACATTACAGAACTCTGTGCAGACAACCTCCAGTACTAGATAGGAACCTGGTAGACCTGCTGGGTGGCTAGATCCTGAAGGGAGACAAGAATCGCTACAGTGCAGCTCTCAAGAAGTCACTTCCCTAGGAAAAGGGGCAGAGTACTACATGAAGGGAACACTTGGTGGGACAAAAGAATCTGAACAACAGCCTTGACCACTAGACCTTCCCTCTGACAGAGCCTACTCAAATGAGAAGGAACCAGAAAACCAACTCTGGTAATATGACAAAACAAGTTCTTTAACACCCCCAAAAAAATCACACTAGCTCACCAGCAGTGGATCTAAACCAAGAAGAAATCCCCAATCTGCCTGAAAAAGGTGTCAGCGAAACTAAGCTTCATAAATGAAGGAAAGACAGTCTTTTTCAGACAAACAAATGCTGAGAGAATTTGCCACTACCAAGTCAGCACTACAAGAACTGCTAAAAAGGAGCTCTGTATCTTGAAACAAATCCTGGAAACACATCAAAATAAAACCTCTTTAAAGCATAAATCTCATAGAACCTATAAAACAAAAATACCAATAAAAAACACAAAAAGACAAGGTATGCAGGCAACAAATAGCACAATGAATGGAATAGTACCTCACATCTCAAACCTAATGTTGAATTTAAATGGCCTAAATGCTCCACTTAAAAGATACAGAATCACAGGATGGGTAAGAATTCACCAACAAACTATCTGTGGCTTTCAAGAGACTCACCTAACACATAAGGATTCACATAAACTTAAGGTAAAGGGGTGGAAAAAGACATTCCATGAAAATGGACACCAAAAGCAAGCAGGAGCAGCTATTCTCCAATAGACAAAATAAACTTTAAAGCAACAGCAGTTTATTTATTTATTTATTTATTTATTTGAGATGGAGTCTCGCTCTGTCGCCCAGGCTGGAGTATAGTGGCCGGATCTCAGCTCACTGCAAACTCTGCCTCCCGGGTTTACGTCATTCTCCTGCCTCAGCCTCCCTAGTAGCTGGGACTACAGGTGCCCGCCACCTTGCCCGGCTAGTTTTTTGTATTTTTTAGTAGAGACGTGGTTTCACAGTGTTAGCCAGGATGGTCTCGATCTCCTGACCTCGTGATCCGCTCGCCTTGGCCTCCCAAAGTGCTGGGATTACAGGCCTGAGCCACCGCGCCTGGCCGCAACAGCAGTTTAAAAAGACAAAGAGAGACATTATATAATGATAAAAGGCTTTATTCAATGGGAAAATATCACAATCTTAAATACATGTGCACCTAACACTGGAGTTCCCAAATTTATAAAACAATTACTACTAGACCTAAGAAATGAGTCAGACAGCAACACAATAATAGTGGGGGACTTCAATATTCCACTAACAGCACTAGACAGGTCATCAAGACAGAAAGCCAACAAAAACAATAGATTTAAACTATACCCTGGAACAAATGGACTTAACAGATATTTACAGAATATTCTACCCAACAACTACAGAATATTCATTCTATTCATCAGCACATGAACTTTCTTCAAGATAGACCATGTGATAGGCCACAAAACAAGCCTCAATAACTTTAAGAAAACTGAAATTATATCAAGCACTCTCTCAGACCACAGAGGAATAAAACTGGAAATCACCTCCCAAAGGAATCTTCAACGTCATGCAAATACATGGAAATTAAATAACCTGCCCTTGAATGATCATTGGGTCAACAATGAAATCAAGGTGGAAATTAAAAAATTCTTCGAACTGAATGACAACAGTGAACAACCTATTAAAACCTCCGGGATACAGCAAAGGCAGTGCTAAGAGTAAAGTTCATAGCCCTAAATGTCTATATTGAAAAATCTGAAAGAGCACAGACAATCTAAGTTCAGAGCACAGACAATCTAAGGTCACACCACAGGAACTAGAGAAACAAAAACAAACCAAACCCAAACCCAGCGGAAGAAAGGAAATAACCAAGATCAGAGCAGAACTAAATACAATTGAAACAAAAATACGCAAAAGATAAATGAAACAAAAGCTGGTTCTTTGAAAAGATAAATAAAATTGACAGACCACTAGCAAGATTAACCAAGAAAAGAAGAGAGAAAATCCAAATAAGCTCAATTAGAAATGAAATGGGAGAAATTACAACTGACACCACAGAAATACAAAAGATCATTCAAGGCTGCTATGAACACCTTTATATACATAAACTAGAAAACCTAGAGGAGAAGAATAAATCCTGGAATGATACAACCCTCCTAGCTTAAATCAGGAAGAATTAGATAGCATGAGCCGTCTAATAACAACCAGCGAGATTGAAATGGTAATAAAAAATTACCAACCCAAAAAAGTCATCCGGGACCAGATGGATTCACAGCTGAATTCTATCAGACATTCAAAGAAGAGTTTGTACCATCCTATTGACACTATTCCACAAGATAGATAAAGAGGGAATCCTCCCTAAATCATTTTATGAAGCCAGTTTCACACTAATACCAAAACCAGGAAAGAACATAACCAAAAAAGAAAACTATAGACCAACATCCCTGATGAACATAGATGCAAAAATCCTTAACAAAATACTAGCTAACTGAATCCAATGACATATCAAAAAGATAATTAACCATGATCAAGCGGGTTTCATACGAGGGATGCAGGGATGATTTAACATACACAAGTCAATAAATGTGATACACCACATAAACAGAGTTAAAAACAAAAATCACATGATTATCTCAATAGATGCAGAAAAAGCATTTGACAAAATCTAGTATCCCTTTATGATTAAAACTCTCAGCAAAATCAGCATGCAAGGGACATACTTCAATGTAATAAAAGCCATCTATGACAAACCCACAGCCAACATAATACTGAATGGGGAAAAGTTGAAAACATTCCCTCTGAGAACTGGAACAAGACAAGGATGCCCACTCTCACCACTTCTCTTCAACATAGTACTGGGAGTCCTAGCCACAGCAATCAGACAAGAGAAAGAAATAAAGGGCATCCAAATCAGTAAAGAGGAAGTCAAACTGTCATTGTTTGCTAATGATATGACTGTATACCTAGAAAACCCTAAAGACCACTCCAAAAAGCTCCTAGAACTGAAAAAAGAATTCAGCAAAGTTTCTGGATGCAAAATTAATGTACACACATCAGTAGCTCTCCTATACACCAACAGCAACCAAGCTGAGAATCAAATCAAGAACTCAACCCATTTTACAACAGCTGCAAACAAATACAATACTTAGGAATATACCTAGCCAAGGAGGTAAAAGACCTCTACAAGGAAAACTACAAAACAGTGCTGAAAGAAATCATAGACAACACAAACAAATGGAAACACATTCCATGCTCATGGATGGGTAGAATCAATATTGTGAAAATGGCCATACTGTCAAAAGCAATCTACAAATTCAATGAAATTCCCATCAAAATACTACCATCATTCTTCATAGAACTAGAAAAAACAATCCTAAGACTCATATGAAACCAAAAAAAGAGCCCACATAGCCAAAGCAAGACTAAGCAAAAAGAACAAATCTGGAGGCATCACATTAGCCGATTTCAAACAACAGTATAAAGTCACAGTCATCAAAACACCATGGCACTGGTATAAGAATAGGCACATAGACCAATGGAATAGAATAGAGAACCCAGAAATAAACCCAAACACTTGTTTTTGACTAAGCAAACAAATACATAAAGTGGGGAAAAGACACCCTATTCAACAAACAGTTCTGGGATAATTGGCAAGCCACATGTAGGAAGATGAAACT